CTGGAGCACAAACTGAGCACATTTCCTCCCTCTGCTGTTGTCTTTAGTCTCTCTTCTCTACATGTTTATTGTAATTATTTCTATCAATAACGTTTTTTCTTTGTCTCTCTTCCAGAAGAAGGTGCATCTGGACCAGTCCTGGACCAGTTCTTCTGTGTTTACCTGTGTCTCTTTCCTGTACCTCAACCAGCCGGTCGAGGCAGATGTCTTGAGCCTGGTTCTGCTGCAGGTTTCTTCCTGATTAGCAGGGAGTTTTTCCTCTCCACTGTTTGCTCAGGATGGGAGACTGTGATGAAGTGATTCAACGCAGCCTGCTGCTTTCTTCTTTAGATTGTTCTTTTTTGTGTACAGTGCCCTGAGACAACATATCTTGTGACTTGGTGCTATATAAATAAACTGAACTGAACTGAATTGAAGAGTCGACAGCTCCAATTTAACTGACTGTGCCCAAAACAACATGATCATTGCCCTTAATCTTCACTAAAACAAGTGTGTAAACAGATTACCGTATTTATTCGTGTATAATACACCCCCCCTTTTTTTAGCTTAAAAAGCATAAAAATTTTAATCCTCAAACTACCTCCAATTTCATACAGACTTCAAGATTATCCAGCCTTTGCAGTCTTTATACATATCAGTAAAATGATCATTGGACTGTTCACTTTATTTTAACAACATATGTACTAAAAGGTATTTTGACAACAAATACTGTATATACTGTATATGATTTTGAGCATCATATGAATTCTGGCATTTTACACATAGTCCACCAGGATGCGCCAACACAAAAGTCAGAGACTTCACATGAGATTTGGGCCATCCATCCATCCATCCATCCATCCATCCATCCATCCATCCATCCATCCATCCATCCATCCATCCATCTAAAAATAGGTCATTTTGTCTAAAACTAAACATGATGATAAAAAGGTCAAGAAGAAACTGGGCAAATGGACATTAAACTACAAAAGCACAAAAAGTAAGGAAATGTGTGTTTGGTAGATTATTTCTTTGTTGAAACAAGGCTCCTTGGAAATAAATCTTATACTGTTGGAAATTTCCCTTTTAAATGGTGCCACATTTGTTGTGCATTTGTGGGATGAGAAGTAGAGCTGTGTATGTGTGTTGCACACATGAAAAAATTACCAACTCTTCTCTGCCAAACAGCTTATTTTGCTGTTGTTAATGACCCTTGTTTTGATCTTTTGGTGCCTCCAGGTGCATGGTATAAGATGTATTGTCAAGAAGCATTGTTACAACAAAGAAATAATCTACCAAATACAAAATTCCTTACTTTTTGTGCTAAGTTTTATATATAAAGTTTTTTTTCCCCAAACTGCATATTGTGCATCTTTGTCCGAACCTTATGGAAATCATGAATGATATCAGCGGGGTCGCTGCCTCTGAAGTGGGGGACAGGGACACTGATCTTCTCGTAGTTGTCAGCGAGGTAGATGCCAACGTTCTCCTCCAGTTCCTGGTGGCCACGGAGTGAGGCGTATGCCGCGTCGTCATATCGAACCCTGCAGTGAAACAGGTTCTCCTCTGGGATCTGCACACACACACAAATTTCTATCCTTGTTAGGACTGCTAAATGACTTCCATTCATTTCCAGTCATTCCTGTAGACTAAGCCCCCACCTCAAGTACACACCTGACCATAAACCCAGCCTACATTCAATTCACACCTTAATCCCAATTCTAACCCTCAACCCAAAAATGGAGTTCCACCATATTAGGACAAATCTTTAGTCCCCATAAGGACCACTGGTCTTTACCAGGTAGGTGTGTTTACCAGAAATAGTCCTAAGAAAGGTAATAAATACAAGTACACACCCTCATACTCAGATCAATAAATCCTCACCAGAACTGTCTGAACTAAGGTATGAACTCAGAAAGCAGATGAGAGCTCACGTGAGGTATGAAGTAGTAGCGGTAGACGTAGATGGAGGCCAGAACCAGTCCAGCCATAAAGACCACCAGTCCAAACGTCAGGCAGCAAAGCCCATTAAGTGGCGACTTCTTGGGGCGCAGTGGCAGAACCAGCTCATCTTCATCCTGGAAAAACACAAATATTTACACACAAATAAAATCCTTCGGCGAAACATCGATCCTGCCCACTCCTCTTTACCACGACGAGCAGACGCACGGACGTCGGCGGGCCCGCTAACGGAAAAACCTGGCGAGGAACCTGCCAACACGCCTCCAGTCTCGCGGCACCATCTGCCAGCGCCACGCGCCCCGACCTGCGTGGGCCTCAAGTGGCACTACGCGCAGATAGTAGCTGCTCAGCGTGGGCCTCCGTCTGCACGCGATGAGGACGATACAGAGAGGCGGCTCCGCTCCGACGCTGCGTTCTGCTGAGTGACTGAGGCAGGTGAAGCCGTCCCAACCATTTCAAAGAGGACGCTATTCTGAGCTGGAGAAGTGACGGCGGAAATAACAACTGTTCGGCTTTTTTTGAGCCAACTTCAAAAGTGAGTGATGACAGTTTTGGGTTTCAAAACTAAAAAAAGGCTTAAAAACAGACATCCTGTGTGCTTCCATTGGAGCTGAGGTTTGACCTTCGTGGAAATGTTTGGGAGACGGCGGGTGCAGACAGACGAGGACACAACAGTGGACACGCGAAGACACTTCTGACTTCTTTGTGTCCTCTTGTCCCACTGAGACGGAGAGAGGCTCTTCCACACCTGCTGGCAGCGTGCCACACCATGAGGCCGGTCCACTCTCGTTTCCACACAAACACATTTATTCTCTCTCTCCTCTCTCTGCACAATCCGAGCCTCGCTGGTCATCTTCAGGGCTCAGCTTTGCATCTCTGATAAAAGGCGGGGATGTCAGGATGCTGCCACAGCAAAGTTCAGGACCCTGCCCTGCTCTGTCAGCTCTGCCTGCAGGAGCTGGGACAAATAATCCTGCATGCCCTGCAAGCTCCGGCATCCCATCTGCCATTTTGTCAGCCGGAGCAAAGCTTTTTTTTTTTTTATGGATTTTCTCCCCTTTAAAGCGTATTTCTCTAAAACAGCGCAGGCATGCGTAAAACATGTAAACATGCCAGGCTATACCACTGATGTTATAAATCAAGAGGTAAAAACAAATGCTTTTTTTTTTTTTAGTTTTAGTAATCCACTGCAGCCTTGAATGAGGAAGATGCATTTGCACGTTTTAATAATTGCACTAAGCTGAAGTGGCGCAAACAGCGCAGATTTGGTTTCCCAGGGGGGGAAATGGCGATAGAAATAAATAAATAAATCAATCCTATGACAGTGCAGGTGCAGAGTTCTTGTTACATTAAAAAACATGGCTGACAAACACAACACGTTCTGCAAATAATGAATTTACTAATAAAAATAAATAAATTCAATACTGATTTAAAAAACGGGAGGAAAAAAAGGTGCAGAGGAGTGCTCTCACCAGCGGATGAGGAATCAGGATCTCTGTCTTGTCGCCATCGCTCTCCTTCTCCACCTTCTGCCCTGCGACAGGCTGGAAGCTGATCTTCACCATGGCTCGGTGCCGCTGCAGGTGTCCTCACCCTCCTGCACGATGAGCGAGCCCCGGGGACCTGGACCTGGACCTGAGCGGAACAGACACGAACACTGTCCTTGTCCTCTGAGCTCCTCTCTTGTCTCCGCCGCCTGTTTTTGTCTCTGTCCACCGGAAGCGCGCCACGTTTCCCTTTTTTTGATCCCCTCAGTGGATTTAGGACTCTTAAAGGAGCAGGATTTATAATAACACTAAACACACATTCGTGATTGATTTAATGTAATTATCATATATTTTACAGAAAGTTCATTAGAAAAACTCTGTAAAAGTCTCTTTACATCACCTGGAAGCAGCTTCATCAGTGGTTCGTTTCACCATTAAAAATAACGTCAGACTTAAGGTCCGTGGGCCAAATATGGCCCTCGTTAACATTTTATCTGGCCCAAGTATGTTTTTTTTCCCTGTCTCTGTAATTAGGACAGTCTTCTCATGACAGAGGGCCAACTTTCAGGCCAAGAACAGTTTTGGTTTTTGGCCCCATGAGTAACTGAGTTTGCTCTAAGTGGTTCCCAAACTTTTCAGCATTTGACCCACAAAATAACAGTAACAGAGACCTGCACCCACAACTATTTTTAGATGATAAACATTTATATCAGGTCAACTAAACATGGGCATAGTAACAGTATTTATTATTCAACATCTATACATTTTAGGCAACTAAGGCAAAAATGTAATTGATTTCAAAAATCTTTTCAGGACCCTACCTTGATGTTTCAGGACCCCACTTTGGGTCCCGACCCCAGCTTTGGGAACCACTGCTCTAAAGTACTGTACAAACATTTCAAACCACCTCTATTTTTTAAATTATAAGTATTTTATAAATAATTTCTTGTTTAATACCTTCCTGCCACAAATAAATAATTTGTCTCCATTAATTCAGTTGATTCAAGCTACTAAATAAAACAGTTTCACACATAAAAATAATATTTTAACACCATTAACGTGATTCCCAAAACGTTTGGTTGGAAACTTAACAAAGTTAGCAGCAGTGTTGCCAGATAATTATTTTAATGATATATTTCTAAGGTCTATACAATAAAAAGTTTTAAAAAATTTAAGGCCCAAATTATAGTTTTGGCATGTCTATGCACCAAAAAAAACCAACTTATTTTTAATGTGAACACCTGTATCTCACCAGAAAGTCCGATTGGACTGTGATTGACCACCTCGTGCTCTCTGATAGTTTTTCTTCTGGCTTCAGGATTTTTTGAAAAGACCGGTGTCCTGTCAGAGAGAAGTCTTTTTCCTTCCATGTCCTTTCATTGTGCAACAATTTTCCTCAAGATATCACACAGGCAGTGGTGGATCTAGGATTTTTCTGAGTAAGGGGCCATCAAGGGGCCACTGTATTTATAGAGAAGTCAAGTATTTGTTCAACCTTCTTTCACACAAATCCCCAGTTTTGTTCAAACACCTGTAATGTAATATAATTTCTTTAAAAGCTTTCCTATTTGACTCTTTAGCGTCTCTAGTGTTTGGACATGGAACTGCGTCTGGACAGATGAGTGACAGGACAGGGGCACTTCAGGGGGCCAATCATATTCCAGCTGGGGCCAATGCCACTGTGGCCCCGCCCCTGCACACAGGTATGTTCTGAGGTTTTTAGACCCATTTGTTCAAGCTGTCACATATTCCTTTATCTTTACGTTTACAGTTTTACTGCTTAAGTGTTTTTCTGTTGTCAATTTTTCTTTTCTTTTTGGTTTTATCCCTTTATAATTGTTCAGCACTTTGAAAGCATAATAATAAAATTATTATTAGCGACAGGCATGCAACCCCTTGTCGTCTTCCTCTCCTGTTCATCAGTCACCTCTAATATTAAGTGTATTCTCACTCAGCAGCATGTACAATAATTTGCACAATGGTTTTAAAATGCTGATGCTCTCCACAGATACAAGAAAATGACTACCAACTACCAGATGTGTGAGGTGGTGGTGGAGGTATGGGGCCCATTTAACATTTTATTTTTACTTCCCTAATTTTTTAGAAGGTAATAAGAAAACTCAAACATTACTTGAAAAAGTTATTTTAAAGATGTATAGAAGCTCGTTTCCACCTTTAAAAAAGTAATGTTTAAAGTTCATCTTTAAAGCTCAGAATTAAGATATACTTTTTGACAATTTATTGTTTTAGTGGCAGAAACCAGCTTCCACACACTGTCTACGTCAATGATATCAGAACACTATTCATCTGTTTTTTATACCTGCATCTCCAGGCAGGGTCTCTGCTGTCTTTTCCCAGCTGTCACTGTGAGAGGACAGGTCAAGAGTCCATCAGGGACACACAGAGACAAATGAGATGAGACAGACGGTTCACTAACACCAACACCTCAGGACAGTTTACAGAAACCAAACAACCTCACCTGCAGGTGTGCCAGCAGAAATAAAAATGAACTATTATTATTTTCAACGTTCTTTGATTTAAATAAATCATTCAATTCACTCAGCAGGCTGTTTGTACCCCCAAAGAAACTGAAACAGTTTGATTTAGTCTCAAATGTTTTTATTATTTTTATAGTTGGGCCCAGGCCTTTGACACATCTGAAAGCACCCACACACTCTCTGCTGAAACTGCAGTTAAAAGTCAGCACACAGCCAAGACTTGTTCAGTCTTTTTTTTTTCTTCTTTTTTTTAATGCTCGGAGAGTAAACGGAAACAATTCCAGTACAATATTTTTAGTATAGCATCATGCACAGTCAATGGGGCAACATGCCTGATGAATGTGGATAGAGGAACAGTGGGCTCTTATAGAAGAGCAGTGTTTGTTTGATTTGTTATAGAAACACGCGCTGCAGAAAGAATGAAGAAAATCTCTTCCGTCAGTTTTTGTCAGAGATGTAACACACCTGAAGCTCTCTGCTACCCACAATGCTTTACACTCACCATTGTACTGGAATTACAAACGCTCCGAAGGCTCAAATGCAACGAAAAAGGTTCACGCTAAAGATAAACGATTGCCCAATTTCTTCAAATCAAAATCAGGTCCCACCTACAGCACGCAAACTGTGGGGCTACATGGCACTCTGAAGTGACTAACCGAGGCGGTGAGAATGACCCGGGTGGGGGGGGGGGGTGCTTTTCACCACAAGTCAGGTGAAACGGATCACCCAGCACTGTACAAAGTGCAAAACACACAGGCGTTAATGTTTGAGTTAAAGCTCCGCCACGCCCTTCTCACTGCTCTCCTGCCTTTTCAGCAAACGTCTGATGTAAGATGTTAGGAGGAGGAGTCTAACAGACCCAGAGCTATTATTACAATGACATTCCTCTGCTGTACAGATTGTTAATGTTCCTATAGGTTAGCTAAACGTGAGCCGGTGCTTCAAGTTACTGTATGTACAAACAAACCCACCAGCAATCACTTCAGCAGTAAATGAAATGCAAAAAACGTCACTTTTATGGTTTTCGAATGCAACTTGATTACAATTAACCAAAAACGTTTTGTTTAAGGTGATATATATAATATATATTCATGTTAAACAAAAATCTACAAAGAAAAAAAAAAGGCTTATGTACATGTTCACCTTGCCCCAGATAATAATAATAATAATAATAATAAAAACGACCCAAATCCTGGGCTGTAATTAATTGGTACCATCCAACCCTCCCCCCTGTTGGATGTGCTTTAACTGCCTCATGACACAGCACGGAGGAACTCAGAGCCTTTCTCTGTAAAAATAATTCACCGCCGATTCGGAGCCTACATGTGAACTCTGGCGCCTGCTGCGACGTGGCAGAAGTTGTCGAGTCGGTGACCTTAAAGGCGGGAGCCAGCCTTGCTGTGAGGGCGCCTACGCTGCGTACAGCCATGGATCGGTCACGTTTCACAGCATGCAGCAATCAGAGCGGCGTTCATCGTGCTTGTACCGTCTCAAACACGTCCTGAGTAATTTTCCTGCAGCGTGAGCACGGATCAATGTTAGATGACCAATGTTTGATGGACTGTTGAGTTAAAATGAAGTATTGATGTGCACAAAAGCAGCATATTAAAATAAAAACTAAAACAAAAAAAAAAAGTCTGAGGGGCAGATGAGCTGGCGACGGCCTGGTGAGTTGATGAGAGCGTTTTTGTTGTTGTTGTTTCTCAGTTTTTGTTCAGAAGAAAGCAGAACTGCTGCTGCTGATGGGTCCGTTAGGTACACACTGTCTGGATGTGGTCCAGACCCGGTACTGATGGCTCTGTCCTGCACACAGCTCCCTCAGGCTTCTTGAGGCGCAGGCCTCTTCAGGTCCCTGATCTGTTTGATTAGGTAAGTCTTTTCGTCGTTGAACTGTTCGTCCTCGGTTCTGTCGTTCTGGAACTTGCTGAGAAACTCGATGAGTTTGGTCTGGTTCTTCAGCAGGATGTCCAGGATCGGCTGCGTCTTGTTGGGGTTGGCCACAAACACCTGGCACAGGTAAAGGAGGGGGGAGAAGAAAAGTTTAGATCACAGATCAATATAAACTGTGCCTTTATTGTCATGAACTCTTAATAGGAAGTCAATAGCCGTGTTGATTTTGGTACTTGGATGGGAAACCGCCTGGGAACACCAGGTGCTGTAAAACCATTGTAGGAGCTGCGCCCACATTGGACTCTAGCAATGGAAAACTGTCGACCATAACAGGTCATAGGTCGCCTTATACGTAGGATGGTAACAGAAAAAAAAAATCTATGTTTACATTTTGCAAAATCCTTTGACTGGATTGAAATGGCACAAAATAATTAATCTGAGCATGATGAGTGTTACATGCACCAGGCTTTTATTCAGAATAGAAGTAACTGATGTACGCAAAGTTGTAAAGTTTCCCTAAAAAAAAACAACATAGCAGAAATTCTACTTCCATAATGAATGTAAACAAATGTTAAAATAAACAATTGTGTTCCATCACTTTCCATCAAGGCACTCAAAGATTTTGAGCTCTTTCAAAGGTTCTAATAGAAATGTTGTATCGCTAACCGATCCTTTTTGCCTCCTCGACATATTAGAATCTAGCCAGGTGGAAAGGTTGACGTTGGGTACACATGAGCAGTCAGGTCAGTTTTCCACAAGATTAAGTGTTTACAAGAATGCCATTCAGATTACCAATCGGTATAAAGCACCCCTCTCATTCAGATTACAAATTCATTCCGATCAAGCTGAATCAGATCAGAATAATCTGACTGGGGCGTTTACATGACACATTTTTATTCTGACTGGCCGTTGATTCTGATTACTTATGCCTCCATAGCTACTGTTTAAGCCTGGTAAAAACTACTCAGAGCAATTCTAATAAAACTAGTGAAGGGTAATCACTGGATGTGCATCTACAGCTGATTAACTTTAGAGTCAGCTCAATCCAAGATGGCCACCACAGCTTCTAAAAACAAACTAAAACAGAAACACAAAAGTGGCTATAACTGTCAATTTGACAGATATCGACCTAAAAAGTGGTGTTGTAGTAAGAGACTGATCTTTAATACATATTCTGAGCATAAAAAAAGTCTTGTGTAATTAACTATTTAAAGTCTGCCCTGATAGTAAAATATCTTGTGAGCCACTAGATGGATTTTATAAAACTTTCAGGAAATAATTTGTGATGTACCCCTGTAACTGACTAACATTTGAAGCCAACCTAATTCAAAATGGCCACTACACTCACCTTAAAAAAACAGAAAAAATAGCTATAACTCAGTCAGTTTTACATAGGTTGAGTTAACGTATTGTGTGGTAGTAGTTGTGAGTTATTAACATAATTAAAGTATGACCCACTGCTTTAAATTTTAGCATTAACTGCTGAAGTTGTCAGTAAAATATCAAACCAAATGTTTTAATGATACTTTGATAAAGTTGTCACTGAATGCAAATCTATAATTTATTAACTTCTGAAGTTACTCAAAATGGCTGCGACAGCTAATCAAAATGAGCAAACACAAATAGTTACAACTCATAACTTTACAACTACTGAGCTAAAAAGAAGGCAGACTGTCACAATCTGACCAATAAATATTTTACGTCTGTTTAATGCATCTTTTGAAAAACATTGCTACCTAAAGTAATGTTTGTTTTACTTCATACCCTTGTAATAAGAATAAAGTGCTGTGATTCCTTCTGTCTCATTCAGGTCCTACTCTGAAGAGTTTGCTTCTATGAGCAGAAAAATAAATCCACTGAAACCAACCGTAGAATATTAAATTCACACAATAAAATATTCTTCTAATAAATGTCAGGACTTTAGTATCCATTAGTTGAAGACAAAGCCAGTGTTGGACTTCTGCAGCGTCCTGAATTGTGTGAAATGTGGTGTGAAGAGCCATCATAATCTCAGCTCTTAGAAACACTCTGAGTGTTAAATCTGTCACGTTCATCATGAGCACCCTCCTACAGCGTAGTGAATTCTGATAGACTTCAAAACTTTGAAAAAAATGTAAGCTGTACTCCAAACTTAAAGTGGTTAATAACCACCTTAGATATCTGCTGCTTAAAGCTGACTGATCAATGCCTGTACCTGCCTGTCTTGTTGGAGGGTGGGGTGGAGGTGGGCATGATTACATTTGTTAAATGTGTATATATATTTTTT